AAAATGGTGATTTGTGTCAGATATGAAGTAAATTTTGCATTGAAAAATGCACTTAGTTGTGATAAATTGATAAAATAAATTAAAAACTAAAATCTTGAGCAAAGTGTTTTAAACATTCTAAATTTAAAAATATGTTTTTGTTCTAATCATAGTTTTAATAAAACCCAAATAATTTCGACTGGTAGGTTCCCTAGTCTAATTAGTGAATCGATGAATTTTTTTATTCCGTAGATTGATTTTTCATTTTTATTATTTGGTTTAAATAATTATTTGATTTTTGAAAGTTTGTGGGTTTAAAACATTAGTCCCTGTTTTTTTTTCTTATATCTTATTTTTGTGTTGGTATTAGTCCTTAGAATTAGATATTTTTTTTTCAAAAATTGACTGCACAAACGGTGGTCATGTAAAATTGTGTTTTGTGTGTGTTTTATTTAATAACATACATATGTGGATATTTATAAGTTTTCCACTAAAAATGCAATAGTGTTTATAATTTTTCTTTTGCATTTAGTCCCTGTAAATTAGAGTTTTATATTAGAAAATAGAAAGTGAACTGAAACTTTTGTTTGGGAGAGGAAGACGAAGGAAGGTACAAAGATGGCAAAATGCTGATTTCACGACCAAATAACACAATCGCATGCAATATATTTCAATACGAAGGTACAAATATTGCTTCATTGTTTCTTCTTGAAGCTGGCATATTATGAAGTTTTCTTTGATTTTTCATTAAGGGGGTAGGTTTGATAGGGATTGTCTAGTATATAATACGAGAAGAAATGAGCATGCAATAGAAATAGACTCAGATAGGTGGAGCTTATTTGAAGCAACATATATCGTGAAAGAGTTTACTGAGCTTGAGCATTTAGAGTCTTAGTTATGGTGGTATAACAGTGATGCTGATAGGTATAGTAGAATGGTTAGTGATAGACATGCTTCTAAGGTATATCAACATGCCATGGAAATGAAAAGGGTAGTGCACATATATGTTGAGTATAAAGGTAAATGCAATAGACAAGAAGCTGATGTATGTGATTTTCAAGAAGATGATGTTAATTTTCAAGAATATACTACTAATATTTAAAGTTTATTTATAATTTTTTTAACTAATCATTTTTACTACTATGTAGCAGTTTCAATGGAGACCCTATCTTGAACTTGAAGATGAGTATCCAATTGAAAGTGACAAGTGGAGTTCAACAACGCTTTTAATATGTTTCACTACTGTTGAAATGCATCATTCAGATAGG